AAATTATGTTTTTGTTTTTGGTTTTTGGTTTTTGATTGTACTTTGACCTTATGTGAGGCCTGTTTTACAATCGATTATGTCAATTAAGGGCCTTCTATTTTACAAATGGTGTTATGTTTATTCAATTTCTCCCGTATTTGTTGTAATATAGACACTACTATATCAACTACTTTATCCGAAAAGATTCATATATTGATATACAAAATTTCTCATATTACATATGATAACCAAAAGAGAGTTTCAACTCCTTTCACTACTCACTACTCACTACTCACATACGTTATGGCAATTCAATTAGTTCAATACTTGAATGAACCCTACTTTGAAATAGGTTGTTGATGAACAAGGCAACAACACAAATCAAAATACACAAAATGACCTTCCAATCAAACGTACACCATTTCAACTTTCTTCGTTTGAACCTCTTCTCTACTGTAAATTATCAATCAGAACTTGTTGCTCATTGATTTGAATCTGTCTCCTCCAAACTTCATCTTCCAACTCTTTGATTTTGTTCACCAATTTTGGGAGGATAAATTGGGATCTTGGATCGATTTCTTCTCTGTCTCTCCATCGGAAAAAAATGACAATTGTTCTCCTGAAAAAAAATAAATATATATATTAATGTTATTAACATTCACATCAATTAAACCCAATAAAATCAAACAATTGAAGAAAATTCACATACACCATAGTAGGGGCAAGACCAAAATCATCTTCGGGATTCAACTTCGACCAAGAAGTCTGCATATGCAACAAACTTCCATGTTTGCATCGTACTATGGTTTTGAGCATTGGGTCTGATTCTTCCATGCATAGCTTATTCAATTTTGCATTTGACATTCCTAACCCTAATAACACAAAGTGAAAAAAAAATCAAGCTGTCGAATTGGGAAATCGAGAAAATTGCAAACCCTACATTCAATCTTAGTTGGAGAAGATACAACAACTAAATTCAAGCTTTGAATTCAAGCTTTGAAAATGGTGGATGAAAAACAAAGAAGGGAGAGAGCTTTTGTTCAAGAACAAAAGAGATGGAGATAAATGAATTGAGAAAAGAATAAAAAATAAATGTATGGGTTATATAAAGAGTAAAGTTACCGTTGGGAGGATTATTTGGACTCCACGTGGACATTTTATTACATTGTTACGCGCCTCACGAAGGTGAGTTCACGTAGTGGACACATCAGCTTTTGAGGGTGAAATAATATAAAAATAAAAAGGTTCAGGGGGGTAATAGGACCCCCGAAAAGGTTAAGTGTGTAGTTGGAAATATGGCTAAAGGTTGAGGGGGCATTTGACCCTTTTCCCTTAAAATTTCTTTATACTTTACTTATTGAAAGTAAGAATGCCCAAGGTGAAAACATTTATCTTATTGATTTCATGTATATGATGTCTGACAATTCTTTGTGAGACTGAAAATGTTATTGTCTCTTCCTTCTAGGCCAATATAGTGAATTTTAAAGCTTTATTGATAGTCAATTCAGTGATTGAAAGTTCGATAATTTAAGTCATTCTAACTATTTTTTTATTTTGAATGGATTGTTGTCACTTTTTTCACATTTTGAATGAATTGTTTCTTTTATTTTTGTGTATGGTTAACAACCGAATAACCGAACCAAACCAAACCGAAACCGATAACCACAAAATCGATAAATGCATATTATATTTGGTTTGGTTTGATTTTGATAATTTTAAAACCGATTAAGTTGGTTTGGTTTTGGTTTTGACCAATAACCGATCCAAACCGACCCGTGAACACCCCTACAATTTTACCTATACCTTATATATAATACAAAAACAAAAATTGTTAAATATTTATAAAGATTTGATTATAGTAAACTAATTTATTATATATTAATTCGAGATCGTTATTAATTTAAGATAAGTATTAAACGTACGTAGCTAGCTAGTTATAATTTGTAGTCTATGAGAATCGTAGAAAGAGGACCCCTAGGCCCTAGCAAAGTCATATATATATTTAAGTTACATATAGTAAAACTTAAAATTTATAAAATTTATATAATCCCTACTATTTAATTTTTTATAGTACAAAAGAAATAATCTTCAAGATGTATGTTGATCTTTTTTTAAAAAAATAATCTAAATAACTTATAACCAAAAATAACTTACGACCTATAATTCATTCGAACTTAATAATTTTGTTAGAAAACTTTATAACAAGTATTAAGAAAATTCAATAAATATATAAATATTATGAATTTCAAACTTAGTAAATAAGATGAGTTATGATAAGATTTCATACTTAAAATTATAAAATTTAAATTTCGAATCCACGAATCAACTTTAAACTACCCCAATAACAGAACTAGTCAAGGACTCAAGAATGTCATGTTAATTATAATCAAAATTATAAATTATTATATTGTCTTTGGTTAAATAATTAGCTTCTTTTTTTTTCTCTCTTTCTATTTATATTACTATATTAATTTCCCAACTCATCAATTGACTGGATTGTAGTTGTTAACCATTTAAGGGTAATTAATAATTATGCACCTTCTAGTTGTTAAAAATACTGTTCTTAACATTTATAGGACCACTTGTTGAATTATATCCACAAATTGCCAACAGAAATAAAGAACCAATATTAAATATAACAATTAAATGATCAACTTTGATTAGTTTAAACCAAATCTAAAAATATATTCAAATTGATCATTTTCATCATAAAGTTGTGTAATTTATATAAAGTTTAATCCCTACAAAAGAGTGATTTTTCCACATTGAGTTGAATGCAATCTACTTTTAAGTTAGTACTCCCCTTTGCTTAGTTTTCGTCTTAAGAATTTACTATTTGATTAAGATCTCATAAAATTCGTATTTATGTATTATTATCGTAAAGTTTCGTGCAGAAGGTTAATCTTATTATTGAAAATATCAAAGAGACACTACTAAAAAATCACTATTTTTCCGTTGAATTTTTTATTGATAAATATTCAGTGATTATTTTCATAGACGTTTGAATTAAATCAGTGTGAAAAGAAAAAAACATAGTAATTGTTTCATATAAATTTTTTTTAGAAAGCTTCCCACTATTTAAATGTGAATCTGTTTTTCATCATGTATTTTTTAAATTGATTTGATGAAAAAAATCATGTTCTATAGTACAAACTTTTCACTGATTCACGCAGTGAAAAAAAACCTTTGCTTCTAATAGCAAGATTACCTAAACAAATTTCCCACTCATTTGAATCCGCTTAATCAAATGAGTTATAATTTTTAAGCTCGAACCTATAAAATTTAAATTTTGAAATTCGACGACGCGTATAGTTATATTGACTCTTCCTCTAAAATTACATTGGCCCCTACTGAAAAAAAATAAAAAAATCTTCTGATGACCGTACGTATGTGCGGAGTAGTTTTATGGATATGTCGTAATGGACTAATGGTACTAGATAACAACAAAAAAAAGTCTTATTAGGTTGTACAAAAAAATAAATGGAATTAAAAGAATTCTTAATATGTGTCAAAAATAAAAGTATTTATCCTACAAAATTATCCTATAATATTTTTGAGTAGGTGAACAAAAAAATATTTCTTTGGTACGTTAACACTGTTATTTTTTTTAGGTAAAAGGATTAAATTTGTTTCTCTATACATTATAGGAAAATTACTTGAATATATAACTTATTTTATTATATTTTCTAAAATATTCTACCATTTGAAAAAATTATAAAAATTCATAATTTCCTCACTCACTCTCCTATTTTAAGATACATCAGTCTTATGTAATGTTTGGGACGTGATATATTAGGAAAGGTGTGCCTTGTATCGGGACGCGATATATCGGGACAAGTGTGTCTTGTATCAACAAAGGTAATGTATCAGGACACGATATATCAGGACGTTTAGTGATGTATCCGAAATTCTTAAATTTTAAGGGATTTTTTATAATTTGAAAATGAATAGGAATATGATATAATTAACTCTTAACAATATGAAATTTGTGTAAATTTTACATTATTATATACTATGCTAAATTGAATTTGTGTAACTCATTTAGAAAAATGACACATTTCTATTATAAACTATCTATTTTAATGTGAAAACTTTTATAGCCAATAATGCTTCACAGGGGTCAAATTATACTTAAATTATTTTATTTTATTGAGTTTCATATATGAACTATTGAGAAGGTGTCCTATCTGAACTAACATCCAATGATTAGTAAAATATACTTAGATGTTGACTAGACCAGATGTTTCTAAGGGTGTTTGTCCATGAAATCTTAGTCCACCTAGCATATATAACAACTCTATTTGTTGACACATTAATTTTTAAAACATATTTTTAAATGATTTATTTAAAATCGTAACTTTTCCCTTTCAAGTCGGAGATATCGATTCCATGAAGACGAGACCACGACTTAGAAAGTGGAGAAGAAGATTGGAATAATTTAGTTTATACGGTAATAGTTTTAGCCTTTAATCTTAGCTTAACCTAATATTAATTTACTCAAATTTGTCATAGAATTATTTTCCACACAGAGTGCCACGTGGCATAATTTTGTAAACAAAAAAGAGAGTGTACACACATCATAAGAAAATTAGTTGAGATCTGTTTCGCTATCTATTGAGTGATAGTTCAAGTAGGAAACTCACGCTCTCAATATTTTAGATATGAAACTCATAAAAATACAGGGATAATTTAGATATGTTTTTGATCCTTAACTTTTATTTAAATTTTTATATCGAATCTAAGTATGCCACACAAATTATAACAGAAAAAGTAGAATTTCTAGCTATTTCATTTTTATAAAAAAATAAATGGTTACATGTGTATAGTTATATTATATGATAGTGTATTATGTTTTACATGGTAACTTATAACAAACTCATTGAATAGACCACTTCCTTCATTGGTCCCATCATGCCCAATTCAAACCCCAATATATAAACAACATTCTTCAACTCCACCTTTAGCATTTTCTTCTTTATTCTTCCAAATACCTCTCACTTCCTAGTGAAAAAAAAATATCCATGGAGAAGATTGAAAGAGAGGCTCTTGATTTCATGAATGTAAAGTCCTTCTCTCAACTTCCTATTACCCAACCCGTTAACGAAAAGCCTATTAGGCTTTTCGGTAAAGAATTTGGTGGTGGTGGTGGTGATAGTACTAATATAACCACCACGGCCACCAACATGACTGAATCTATCGACAATAATCCTTTTCATGATGAACCTGAAACAAATACGGTGAATCTTGCAAATTGTGCTGTTAAAGAAATTCATATTGACAAGAATGTTGAAATCATGAGGAAATATGAATGTCACTATTGTTTTAGGAGCTTTCCAACTTCACAAGCTTTAGGAGGCCATCAAAATGCACACAAGAAAGAAAGACTAAATGCCAAACGACCTCATCTCCAATCTTCAATAGTGCATGGTAAATATTTTATATATATATATATATATGTAGTGTACGTGTGTTTTTGGTAGGACGAAAAATATTTTTTCAAATAACAAGTCATTTTCTAGCAAGGAAATATCAAAAAACATACTCCTTGAAGAATGTTTTCCCCTAAATAATGGGACAAAATTAATTTTTCCAAGCATGTAATAATAGTTTCATATATTATTGTTTATGTTTGTTTTGATTGACAGATCAACCGACCATTTACGGGATAAGGAATCGTCATCGCCTTGGTGAAGCAACTGCATCTACAAGATTAACTCATCATCATTCAACATGGACAAATATTAACAATAATACTCCTAGGTTTAATGGAAATGACCATAATGTTAATGTGATTAGTCCTATAAATGGAAATCCATTCATGACATTTTGGCAGATTCCTCCAACAGTTTATCACAATAATTCTTCTTCTGCTGATAATAATAATAATTTAGTTTTTTCTAATGATGATTTGATTAGGACTCCTCCAATGGTTAATGTTAGCACTAATTGTGAGAGCAATTTTGTCTATAAGCCAAAGGGAGAAGTTCAAGATCATGTGAGTTTAGATTTGCACTTGTAATTACTTAAGGATCATAGTTAATGTAATCTAATTACTATAATATTTAATTTCTCTAAAGAATTTGTGCTTAATTTGAAGAATGTTTGGATTTAATTATCATTATATTATGGTACACACAATTGTGTTGCCTTGTTGAATTTCACTTAGTGTAAGTTTTTAAATTATTAGTGTAATTTAAATTGCTGTAGCAGATTGTATGTCTTATTTTTATTACTAATTTCACTTTAATTAGATATGAAATTATCTTTTAGATGATTTAACAACATAAAATTTTCTTTGAACCTCTGAATGAAAATTCGAAATCCATCACTAATTCAATGGTTAACATGATTGTGTAATGCTTTATTTTTGTACCTTGTATCTTTTCAGAGAAAGTCCCTGCATTACTACAAATAGAGATACAATAAAAAGAGAGAGACCCTACATTAAAATTATGAAGTTAAATCATGGCAAAACTAACTACTCCTAGTATTAAAAAGAGAGAGACCCTACATTAAAATTATGAAGTTATATCATGGCAAAACTAACTACTCCTAGTAATAAATACTTTTTTTTTCACCGTCCGGAGTCCACATTGGAGCTCCGACTAAATTCGGATCGCGCTCTACAGGGCCCATTCGAGGGTGGCACTCCCAACAGAATTTTCTCCATATCCAAGGTTCGAACCCGAAATTTCTGGTTAAGGGTGAAACACTTCCACCCGTGCACCACAATCCATGTTGGTCACTTTGTACTTTCATCACATTATAATTATAGTGTATCTTATGGACCTATGGTTATTCCTTGCTACTAAAAAGTACAAGACATGCTATATTTTTTAGACAAGGTATTGTGCTCATTACGAATAATTCAACTTAACATGACTCCAAATAGAAAGGTTTGGATGTCGAAATTAGTAAAAGACCATTAAGTAGTTGAGTGTTATCGCACTTTATGTGAGTCACATGGTCTCTTATTTGGCAAGATGTATATGGTATATATGTTGCTTCATTTACTTTGTATTGATATTTGTTGTCATATTTCTTTGATATTTTATTTTGATGACTTTTCTTTTGAGCTAATAGTTTAGTATAAATGATTCTTTTACCTCATAAAGGTAAGGGTAATGTCTAAATACATTCTATCCTTTGTCCTGACCTCATTTATGGGATTACACTGTCATATAAAGTGGTACTTCCCATGATCAAAAATTAACTTTTTTTAAGAGGCATTAAAAAGAAAAAACACGATAGATAATTTGATACAAATACAATAAATGAGACAAATTTCTATTTTGATAGGGTCTTATATTTTGTTTCTCTCTGACAATGATCTTAAAAACGACTTCTGTATTTGTCAGTGAAAATGGAGCCCTAGTTAGGTATATTTTTAACCATCTGATTTAAGGTATGAAAAAGGAAACAACAAAGATGAAATTAAACATTTTCTTGAAAGTGATATTTAATTTAGTTGAGGATATAATATATGCTCTGACATAAAATAAATACATATGGTACAAACACAAAATATAATGACAATTCATTTTAGTCACCATCTCTACTGCCTTTTGGATAAATGCCTTGGACTGACTCATCAGGTTATAATTTTGTACCACCACTTCCTTAAATGTCACAATTTTTCTACAAAATACTTTTAGACCAATGTCTTTATTATATACATGAAAAGTAAAAGTATGATGGGAGATTTTCATTATTTTTTTGTCACAAATTATGTGACACTGTTCGATTAAATATAAAATTTAAAAACCAAATAAAATTATGATATATAAGGAAGTGGTGGTAAAGAAATTATTTTCTAAATTCAGTGGAGACAAAAAATACTAAATAATTTTTTCGAGCTACAATGACCACTTTTTTCTTTAAAATACATAAAAGGCATATCAATTTTTTTTTAAAAAACCAAATGGGACAAATCGCTCCATCAGGAGCAAGATGCTTGAGCATAAATTAACCCCTTTAACTCCATCAAAAAAAAAATCTTAAGAAAATTGCTGCCCATGGCAGCGATTTTTTAAAACAAAATCATTTAAATCCCTACCCCAACAACGACTTCCATATAATTTTTTTTAATGCCCCAACAGCGTTTTTTAAAAAAGAAATTATTTTCGGGGAAATCGCTGTTCCAACAACAGTTTTTTTTAAAAAAATAAATAAATTGAGAAATCGCTGTATTAATTAATTATTTTTATAAAAAAAAATTATAAGGAAAATTGTTGTTGGGGCAGCGATTTTAATTTTAATTTTTTTTTAGAAGAAATCGTTGCTAGGGCAGCAATTTTCTTAAGATTTTTTTCTTTTGATGGAGTTAACTGGGTTAATTTACGCGCAAGGATCTCATTCCTCCTGAGGGATTGATTTGTCCCTTTTGGTTTTTTTAAAAATAATTGATAAGCCGTTTATGCATTTTGAAGGAAAAAAATGGCCCTTTTGGCTTTGGACTCTGATTCTTCCCATTTGTCCTAACTTTGGAGCATAGAGTTACCTGCTACTTATTGTTAGTAGCAGGTGACATGTATCATATAGAATTAGTTGAGATGCACAAAAAACTGACTCAAACACCACGATAATTAAAAAAAAAATTGAAAATTATATTATGAAGAGTTCATCCAAAAGCATTTACCCAGAAGGCAGAAGAGATGGTGGCTAAATGAATTGTCATTATATTTTGTGTTTGTACAAGTATTTATTTTATGGCAGAGCATATATTATATCCTCAACCAAAATATCACTCTCAAGAAAATATTTAACTTCATCCTTGCTGTTTCCTTTTTCATACCTCAAATTAAACAGAGGGTCCATATTCCATTTAAACAAATATGGAAACACCAATTTTTAAGATTATTATTGTTAGATAGAAACAAAATTTAAGACCATGCCATTCTGTCAAAAATAGAGATCTTTCCCTAAACTTTCTGCATTCTTTTATTGCCATCCTCTAAATTAACATTCACTAAAACATTCATGTAAAAAAAGTATTTCACTATAGCAATAAAAAAAATATCGGGACAACGATGTTATAGAAGAGTTTGATTGTAAGTTGGAACAAGTTTAGGGGTACTCATGTTTTCTTTTTATCATCATCATAGATGTGATAGTTATTCTTAATAGGAGTGTCATCTAATTTCATCACTTGATACAATACTATTTCATAATATCATGTGCTATTAGAATCGAAAAATCAAACCAAATCAACTAAAAATCACGAATACGTTTAATTTGGTCTGGTTCGAACCAACCAAACCAACTTAACATTGAATCTATTATATGTTTACAGATATGAGTTCACATCTACTATTTGTTAGTTTTCATGGATTTTTACACATAAATTTATGCTCTGTATCGATTATCGAAAGTACTGAATTCAGATCAATTCGAAAACGATACTCTACCTCTAGCTCTGCTCCCAACTTATCTAAAAGGTACACAAGTGAATGTAGAAGAATAGTGGGACATAATAAATAAGCAACAAGAGGAAACATGAATTGCATGTACAAAAGATGATAAACACTTGAAAAATGAGAGTGCACTACTAGAACTACAAAACAAAACTATGTAGAAAACAAAAGTGGAATTTTAGGAAGCTTCAAAGAGTGTCCCATGCTCAAGTGTCAGTGTCAGTGTCAGTGCAATTTAATGTCAATTGGCTTTTTCAAATCCTACAATTTTGCCATAAATAGTTATGTACCATTGTTATTATTTGAACTTCCATCCATCTTTCTGTTAGCTCATAACAAAATGTCAAATTAATCTTAAGGTTGACACAGCTAACTTGATTGAGGAAAAGGAAACCCTGGTGACAAAGCACTTTTGCCCTCGTAAGCGAAGACAGAGGAATCACAACTAGAAGTCTCGAGTTCGAGCCTTAAAAATAAAGTTGTCTCTGTAAGAAGTGTTTTACACCCCCACCCCCACAAAGTGGGATTTCTTAGTCAAAGCGAATACAAGAACCATTCAAAAACCATATTGTTTTTTTACATATATTTAGTGTAATCTCATAAGACAACGTGTTGTCTGAAGAGAATATTATGTATGCAGACAAAGACCTTTTGTGGGGTAGAGATACTGTTTCTGATTAAATACAGTTATAATTTTCAGCTTTGAGCTTTACACATAAGTTAAAGATTATATATTTATGTTTCATTTATTAAATGCATAATGGTATACCTATGGACTGTATAGGCTTTTATATGATATTAAATTTCATTTCCTAACCATCTTTTTCAGGGCTCCCCCTATAAATATCTGACCTTATATGACAGATAATATTGTTGAGTGGCCATAAGTTTTGATTACTCCTGCTTCATTAAAGAATGACTTGTCGATATTCTTTGAACTATTGTTAGAATATCCAATGTGATCTCAGCTAACATCATTAAGACAAGAAAATTCAAAACTTAAGCCTCAAATAGACTCAGAGGCGGATTCAAAATTTAAAATTCATGAATTTTTATCGAGATTTCAAGTTAATAATAATACATTAATAAATGAGTTCACGTACGGTCAAATATTGATAGATATTTAGTAGATTTTCTCTTATTATATAAGAGAGAGTTTACGCTGAAGCAGGCACGTCTCCGTCGATGTGTCTGCTTCAGCGTGTTTCGAAAAAAAAATCTAAAAAAAATTATTCTTTTGTTCTAATTTAATTTAATTAGTGTATGATTTTTTCGAAATTATGGAATCCATTTTAGCTATGACTTTTAGTTTTAAATTCAAGACTTCACGCTGAAGTAGACACGTGTGTCGAAAATTTTCTTTAAAAAAATTACTTTTTTTTATCTACTTTGATTTAATTAGTGTATAATTTTTTTGAAATTATTGAATCTGTTTTAGCTATGTTTTTAGTTTTAAATTCATATTCTTTAGGTATTGCTTTATTATTTTGTATGTCGGTAATATTTGTTTATATCTTGTAACTATTTTGAGTAAAAAATCAACGACCGATGACGAAAAATACTTTAATTATGGACCTCTTCACAATAAATTCGCGCAAACAAAAAG